TCAGAGATTCTCTGCTTGGGTTGACTTAATAGAAGGGGAAAGTCTATGGCTTTCTAGACTAATTTGAGTCTGGATTAAAATGGGTGAATGTGATTTTAGGGGGTCAAATTGAGACAGTATAATGCCACTGGAGCTGGGCTCTTGCTTAAATGGATTGTCAGCCTAATTGAAAATCTTAATGTTGGGATAGAGGGCTTATGGTCTTCCAGGAGATGTAAGCCTGCAAGTGCCCTTATCCATTGTTATTGCCTATTCTAGATAGGTTTGATGGAGGCCACAGTTCACAAAACTCTGGGAGAAAGAAGCTTTATTTATTTATTTCATTTCAAAAGCACTGCATAAATAAGTAAGTTTAAAAAGTGATAAAATAAAGGGAGCTCAATATTTTTAGCCCAAAACGGGGAACAGCAACTGCATTGTCTGTAGCTTTAAACAGTTCTTCCTCTGTGCATGAGGCAAGACATTGTGGGCAAGCATACAGATGCAGAGTTGTTTGTTTTGCTCCTCAGTCGCACAAGGTGGAGGATTCTTCTAGGTTGTGCCATTTTGCCAGGTTGTCTTTTGATCTGCCAGCTCCACTTCTGAGTCTGTTCAGGGACTTCTAAGTTGCCCATTCTTGGTTTGCTCCTGGAGGAAGCTGATCAACCCAAACTAGTAGAACATTGGTCAGAAAATACTAGTTCTGCAAAAAGGTTTAGAAATAGGTTCGAATATCACTAATAGTTGAAGGTATTCCATATGACTCTGTAACTTTGGTGTAAATAAATCTCTTTTAAAGGCCTATGGTTATATACTTGCATGCTGAAAATAGGGCTATGCAGTAATAACTGCCTTCCTCATTTTGAATTAGCATTAGGTTAACCACAGTACGTGGGACAATTAAAATCTGCCTTAATAGGCAGGTCTTTAGAATGAATATTCTATATATTCTGTTACATTTTCTTCTAATGTTTGTAGCTTTGTAATTTGGTTATTACAAAAATTAATATTACATCTTTATGGGAGGTACAAAATAGTTCAGCAGCAGATAGATAGTTATGAGAAATGACTACCAACATTTTATTGTTACAGATATCTGTCTGTACCAATAACTAGTCATTTTAGCAATATGCCTATGTAAATATCTTTAATGTGCTTTTAGAGAATATTTATTAATACTAATAAAGTGTGACTCATACAAAAGAATCTGAAGTGCTACTTCAAAGAAATAGAAAAGCCTTCAAGTAATGTGGTTTTTTCCTGCCTTTATCTTCACAAAAGGCATTTATCCAGGTAGTAAAATGTTAGTGGTTTCTGGAATCTAATTTTCCCTACCACCATTACCTTGTGATATGTAATGAAATTATAGGTAAAGGGCAAAATAAGTTAAATGGCAGGTTTTAAAAATAGCCTTAGATCATTCTGTGTACTATCTTTTTTGTGCATGAATTAAGATGCATTAGGAGATGAAGATCCTTTTCTAACTCTTAAAACTAAGCTTTTATTTGGCTAAATAAAAAGGACTTGTCGCTCGTTTCTTCTGTGGAGAAATACTTAAACACTCTTTGCTTATGAATACTTTTAGCCGCATTGTCCCCAAATCACTCATCCTAAGATAAGAGGTTGTTGCTAAACAAAAACACAATCGTATGAACCTAGCCATTATCTTTTATTTTAAGAAAATAGACCCGCTACTGCTCAGAAGAAAAGCTGATGTAAAGAATCCATACCCGATGGCCATGCTTTGGTTTGGTTAGATATGGAATCTCCTTGAACTGGATAAGGGAGGCCTTCTTAAAGCAGAGATTATAGCAATGTCTGTGTTGACTTAGCTCAACACCTGAGGTGCCCAAGTGGAGTGTCATTGCAAGTTCTCTCACAAAGACAAACTAGCCCTCTGATTGGTCATTCCTTGGTTGAAGAGAAGTGTCAACTAATGCAGAAGCCCATTCTTTGTGACAATAGTTTTCATCAGAAATGCTTTTGCTAAACAGCCTTTGCTGCACTCATCACACAATTCGTATTCAGATGACCAGTGCAATAAATGCCTTACTATGACCTCTAGTGGTTAATTATGGACAAACAGGAGACTTTTGCAAAGATTGCTTTATCCAGCCTATCCCAGACTTATTTCAATCTCCCTTGACATCTGTGGTGCTGTATCTATGATGATAACTGGGCCACAGCAACTTAAGGCAAGGATAATCTATTGTCAAAGGCTTTCATGGTTGGAATCACTGGGTTGTTGTAGGTTTTTCGGGTTATATGGCCATGTTCTAGAAGCACTCTCTCCTGACGTTTTGCCTGCATCTGTGGCAAGCATCCTCAGAGGTTGTGAGGCAAGCATCCTGGTGAAACGTCAGAACAGAATGCTTCTAGAACATGGCCATACAACCCGAAAAACCTACAAAAGGATAATGCTCATTAGCTGCCTTCCAGTACAATATCTTGTTATATCTGCATCATGAAGCCACCTAACATTTATGATAAGCAAATTCAGAAGCTCAGGTAATATCTGAGCATTCATAGCTCTTGACCATGCTACCTGATCTCAACACAAGCATTAGTCTGTCTGTTCTAACCAGTAAAACTTAAATGTCTGCTCTAACCAGCAAAACCCAACTTTTTAGCTCCCATCTCATAACAGCAATACTACACTTAACCATTTTCCCACAGTCACAGGTTTACTTTCCGTATCCTTTGAGTGGTTACTGACTATCTTGGCAGATTTGGCATTGCATCCTTTGGCTCTGGGAAGCCACTTACACCTGTAGGGCTGGCTATGCACGTAACCTAACCTGTGGTGATATAGACCTCAATAAGCATTCCATTACCAGGGCTGGATTAAGCATTAAACAAAATAAGTACATGCTTGAGGCATCAAGGGCAAGAGGCCTTAAAATGCCATTGCCAGAATTACCATGGGTCACATGACACAAAACTGCAAATGGCGCAGCTAAACCAGGGCTTCCACAATAAGATATTCTGCAATCAAAATAAGTAGAAGAGAACTTTTCAATTATAAATGGAAGTATGCAAAAAATAAACATTATATTCCATCTTACTGTAACTTTTGTTCCATTTCAAAAATGTATTTTATGGGTTATTATTGTTTATATTTTGAGTTAGTTATATATGGGAGCACCAAACTCTTTTAAGTGCTTCGGACCTCTAAAGGTTGCAATCGGGTCCTGTCTGCTGGTTCATATTTTACCTCCCTCAGGTATTCCTTCTTTAAAGTTATTTGGCTGAGAACCTCATAACTATATTTCTGCCATATGATAGCAAACTGACAAATGAAAGCTGACTAAATTATACTGCACTGTAATTTTCTGAAGAAAATGTTGATAAGAAATGCTTTAAAAGCTTTTTTAAATATCTTTTCCCCAAGTGATTTCATGAATTCCTGGGATACCTTTTGTGGTCCCCCTTCCTCTTGCCATGGATTTCTAATTCTGAAACGGCTTCCTCTTCATATATCATCAGCTTGTCTTATTTTACCCACTGAACCATAATCTTTCTGGTAATATGACAGCTACTTCTATAGCTGGATCATTATAAAATCTCAAAGACATTTTTTCTAGATAGTAATTTTCTACTCTAAACTTGAGATGAATTGCATTTTAAAGTTACCACTTACATTTGCATTTTCTAAATTTTAATAATGAATTTCCTCCATGATGTTTTACTACTAAGTGAAGCATTTCTTTCCTTTGTTTTCCTGACATATTAATGCAGTTGATCCATAGACTTAAGGAACAAAAATTTGCCTTTTAGGTGCAATTTAATTTTTTTTAAGTGCTGATAATATCAGGAGAGAAAGAGAATGTATCTAATAACTACATAGGCAGAAGCGGGTATTGGAGGGGAGTTTAGTTCTTGAACTTGCTCTTGGAGAAATCCTCTTTTTTTGCACCCATTTTCTAAACCTATTTCAATCAGGTTTTATGCCTGATTTTGGAATGGAATGAGAACTGCCCTCATGGCTCTGTAAGATTATTTTATCAGAGATCTGGAAGGAGATGGCATATTGACTCTTTTAAAACATTTTTGCAAATGTTATCCATCCTCCTGATAACATTAATGTGTTTGAGTTACTGTATGTGAGCCATATGTTATTGCCGTTGCACACTCACTTCAACACCTACTTGCATCCTAGTTAGGTAGGAGTCCCCAGTGGCACAATGGGTTAAACCCTTTTGCCAGTAGGACTGTTCGACTGACAGATTGGTGGTTCGAATCTGGGGAGTGGGGTAAGCTCCTGTCTGTTGAGCTCTAGCTTCTTATGTGGGGACATGAGAGAAGCCTCCCACAGTATGATAAAACATCAATCATCCGGGCATACCCTGGGCAATGTCCTTGCAAATGGCCAATTCTCTCACACCAGAAGTAACTTACAGTTTCTCAAGTCTCTTCTAACACGAAAAAACAAAAACAAAACAAAACCTAGTATCTGATATAACAGTATGGTTATTCTTCCCTTTCAACAGTAATGTTATAAGCTTCCAGAGTGTTCTCTTGAATTTGGCCCAGTATTTCTTAACATGCAAATATTTTTCTGCCTTCTGTGGTTAACAAAGACACTAGGATGATTGACAAGCATTCATGCTTTGTTTGTCTTCAATCACTATTAGTTGTCAAGCATGATTCTATTTTGCATTACACTTTCAAACCTCTTATATACCTACCTACATTTCCTTTTATTATTAAATAATCACTGTGCTTCCATCTGTTAAAGACATAATTCATACTTCCTGAAAAGTCTGAATATACAGCTCTGCAATTAGCGTGGCAGAGGAAAGGCAAGAATGATTTTCCTCATTGTCGTTGTCTCTGTCTAGTAAAGATTTATTGCGTAGTAAGGGTTTTAGAGCCACGTTGGTCTTAAATATTCCAATCGTGGCAGTTTTCTGGTGTAGTAAAAGAATGAGCAATAACTGCTCTGTTATCATTTGCCACTCATTAGCTGTCTCCTGGAATTCTTTCTTCAACAGCTTGAAAAAGCACTGAAGCATAATGCATTGTGTTGTTTGTGAATCTTTATTAGTGTTAATTATTAGATGTAGATATTCTTCAGCATATTAATTGCCTGTTTCCCTTTGCGACATGATAAGTTGCTTGCCTCTCAGCAGCCCAAGGCAATGACTTCCATAATTGAATTATCTTTTCCTCTGTTGAAAACATTCATCAATCTTGAAATATTCATCTTTTCTGCTTGTTCAGCTTCTCACTATTTTAAGGAATGGGCTAATGAGAATCACATCATCACAGAACCAGAGAGTTGAAAGGAACCAAAAAGGTCATTTGGTCCAGTTCCCTACCATTCAGGAACATACAGCTAAAACTCTCCTGAAAGATAGTCATCCAAGCACTACTCCACGGCTGCTTATGCCACTTCTGAACAGTTCTTACCTTGAGGAAAACCTTTCTGCAGCTTAGATGAAGTCTATATCCTCCCTTGACGTGAATCCTTTCATTCATATTCTTGTTATCACGTCTGTTCTGTCTTCTACATGACAAATATTTAAAGATAGCGGTCATATCACTCCTTACGATGCAATAATAAACAACCTTGCTCCACCTTCTACATGATAACTATTTAAAGATGGCCATCATATAATCTCTTAGTCATTTCTTCCCCAAACTAAACATACCAATCTCTCTAAATTGTAATTGGACTGGGATGAACATTTCCAGAAGAACCATTTGAGCATGCAGTTGTTCCTCTGTATACATGAATCCTGCACCCAAGCATTCAACCATCCTCAGATTCCAAATATTTTTTTCCAAAATTATAAAAAGCAAAGCTAGATTTTGCCACTGTATATAATTACATTTTGCCGTGCCATTATATACTTCATCATGCCATTGTGTATAATGGGACTTCAGCAGCTAGAGATTTGGGTGTCCATGAAGGTCCTGAAAAAAAGATAAAAGGAAAAAGTAAGTAAAGTTCTAATGCATTGGGAGCCATTTCTCGAGTCAATTTTTGATGGTGACCAGAAACAGGAACACAATCAGAGACATCTTTTTTCTACCTTCTTCTGTTTGTTTTTTTAATAATAATAATAATAATTATTATTATTATTTTATTTCTTACCCACCTCTCCTCTTGTCGCATTACAGAACAATTAAAATAAACAAACACTGCAGAACACCACAAATACACATGTTAAAATGTACCTCTATAAAACGTATCTCTATAAAATACATATTTACATAAATATAAACAAAGGATACACATTTAAAATTAATGCTTAAATACTGTCTGGGTAGGCCTGCCGGAAGAGGTAGGTCTTTACATGGTTTTAAATTCCAACAGCTTATTTAGCTGTCGGAGCTCTTCCAGCAGGTTGTTCCACAGTCTCGAGGCAGCTGATGAAAAGGTCCTATGGGTGGTGCTTGCCAGTTGGGTTCTGGCAAGTTGGAGCAGGAGGTCCCCCCAGAGGACCTCAGTGTGCGGGACGGATTGTATGGCAGAAGGTGATCCGTTAGGTAACCTGGACTTTAAAAATCAAAACTACCACTTTGTACTTTGACTATAGGATAGGTGTAATAGGCTCACTCCTTCATGGAACCAATCTGACTGCTGTATTTTGAACCAGCTGGAGTTTCTGAACTTGGTACAAGGATAGCCCAATGTAAAGCACATTGCAGAAGTCCATTCTTGAGATTACCAGTGCATGCACTACCATCTTCAGGTCCTCCAAATCATGGAATCATAGAGTTGGAAGAGACCTCATGGGCCATCAAGTTCAACCCCCTGCCAAGAAGCAGGAAAATCAAATTCAAAGCACCCCCAACAGATGGCCATCCAGCCTCTGTTTAAAAGCTTCCAAAGAAGGAGCCTCTACCACACTCCAGCTTGTCAGCATCTCCTTTCAATTATGGTGCCCAGAACTAGACACAGCATTCCAGGTGTGGTCTAACCAAGGCAGAATAGAGGGGTAGCATGACTTCCCTGGATCTAGACAATATACTCCTATTGATGCAGGCCAAAATCCCATTGGCTTTTTTTTGCCACCGCATCACATTGTTGGCTCATGTTTAACTTGTTGTCCACGAGGACCCCTAGATCTTTTTCACACGTACTGCTCTCGAGCCAGGCATCCCCCATTCTATATCTTTGCATTTCATTTTTGCTGCCTAAGTGGAGTATCTTGCATTTGTCCCTGTTGAACTTCATTTTGTTAGTTTTGGCCCATCTCTCTAATCTGTTAAGATCATTTTGAAATCTGCTCCTGTCCCCTGGAGTATTGGCTATCCCTCCCAATTTGGTGTCATCTGCAAACTTGATGATTGTGCCTTCTAAGCCTTCGTCTAAGTAATTTATAAATATGTTGAACAGGACCGGTCCCATTTCTAAGTGTTTGCAGACCACTTTTTGAACAATCTTTTCCAGAATCTTGCCTGGTATCGACATGAGACTGACTGGATGGTAATGGTTTGGGTCAAATCTAGGAAGGGGGGCAGCTGGCATATCAGCCAAAGCGAATAGTAAGCAGTCCTGACTGTCACATCTACCTGGGCTGAGGTTTGGAGAGATGGATCCAGGAGCACACCCAAGTTGTGAACACAGTCTTTCAGGGGGAGTGTAGTCCCATCCAGAATTGGCTGACACATGTCCATCCCCAGATTAGGACCCTTGATGGCAAGCACCTGTTTTGTCTGGTTTCAGTTTCAATTTGTTTTCCCTCATCCAGCCCATTACCTCCTCCAGGCATTTATTCAGCGGAGACAAGCTATCCTTAGCTGAAACTGTTTTGGAAAGCATGGAGAAATATATTTGAGTGTCATCAGCATACTGATAACACCTTGCCCCACGCCTATGTTTTTGTTGCTGCTTTCCCATAGAGGCAGTGTTTTGTTCCATTGGGGCCATCTGTCCCCATGGTTCATCTAAGGAACAATAGCTCCTTCCTCAGATAGATGGTGAAGACAGATGTTGCTCCTCACTTAATGTCCTAAAGTTAAGAAAATACTGCTGTACTTCTTGAGCACCTGAGTATAATCTGACTTCCGTCATCCTGATAGCTGCAAATATTCCATATCTTCTAAAGGCCCATTCAATAGAGAAGTATACCACTCTGATTGCACTTGAACTGCCATGACAACATCCTACAGAATCCTGAGTTTTGTAGTTTTGTCAAAGTCATTAGAGGGCTGTAGCAAAGAATTCTAACTATTTTATCAAACTGTAAACCCCTGGAGTTCATAAGATGTTGCCATGGCAGTTAAGAAAGAATCGTAGTGCTATTGTTATGTAGTATGAAAGGATTCCAATTTTGTTGATTGTGACGTGTTTGTACAGGGGCCCACAATTCTACGTTGTGCTGTCTGTGGTGAATGTTCACTGGCTTCTTGTTACCATCAGTTGTGCTTGGTCACTTATCAGTGAATTTTAAGGGAGCTATCCAAGGTGCTGAACTGTATTTCCCAAATTGGTTTGGCCCCTTGGCTAGATGATCTCTTTAAACTTTGGACAAATCTCGGGCAAATTCACCAGTTCACTGACACAGGAGCCACCAGTTATTACTGCTGAGAATGGCAGGACAAAACTAAAGGAAACTGATGATAAAACTCGTGTTGATTCACTGGGCAGAGTTAATTCCAAAACCCATGTTGTGATAATCCCTTTATTAAGCTAACCAGAAAGGCAAAATAATGAATCAGTTGGGATAACAACAATAACTGGTTTCATAATGGTATTGATATGGATTTTAGAATCTGAAGATAACCAATATTTTTTCCCTCCTCGCCACACACACACAACTCCCTAAACAAGAGTAGAATATGGCATATGACAAATGTCCTATCTGAAGTAAGTAGGACATTTGTCATATAAAACTGTCCTTTAGAAAGAAGGACAAAACATCCGTGAGGAAACTTTCCCATTTAGATCTGTCTATTTTTGAGCAGACAAAGCATTATAGATCTTTTGAATGTTGTTTGTTTTGATTTTTCAAGCACTGTTTTGTCTTTGTAATGGCTCTTCAGCCAATGTGTAAATTAATTGACTGACTTGTTGACCAAATAACATCATTTCTCCATCCAAGACAATAGTCCTCTTGTATGACTCTTTTCAATAGGGTTTTGTCTCCTTTCGTTGCATGCAAAGGGCCAGTTGTTTACTTGTTGTTTAATTCATGCAGGAGTAAATCAGCATTAACTCCACATCATTTCATTTACTTTTTATTGCTTAATGAATTATTTGACCATGAAAAATTATGGGAAAAGAGAACCAATGTTGTCAATAGGTGCAACTGAAAACATAAATCTTCTTGCACGGGAATTTCTCTCATCTGATTCCATCAGTCTCTCCAGCTTGTGGATTGTTTGAGCTTTGACTCTTTCTTGCCCAGTTCAGAATTCTAAAGGTGGAACTGCATGTTATAAGAAACACAAGGATCTCATGGGTGTTACTGTTTGTTTGATTCTATAATTTTATATTCAACCTTCATAGAAGTTCTAGGTAAACAAAAAAGCTAAAAGATTAAGTTAAATACTACAATAAATATAATACTAACAGTCTTGGACATAAGCACAATATTAATATTGCACGGCTGGCGGGGACAAGAGATAGGGCCTTCTCGGTGGTGGCTCCTCGGCTGTGGAACACCCTTCCCGTGGACATCAGGCTAGTCCCCTCCCTGTTGATATTCCGCAGGAAGTTAAAGACCTGGCTGTTTAAGAAGGCATTTGAGCAAGAAGTGCAATGACTGGTAATTTGACCATAGGAATGGAACAACGGAATGATATCGGATTGTGGGTTTGATGATGAGACTACTCGGAATGGATTTTGTAGTAATGTTGATGCTGATAAGATGTTTTTCTGATAATTGTGGATTATTTTATACTATGTTTGTAATTTGCACTGTTTTCCATGTTGTACACCGCAATGAGTCGCCCTCGGGCTGAGAATTGCGGTCTATAAGCGCAGTAAATAAATAAATACATAAATAAATAATATTAATAAGCCTAGAAAAGAGATTCAACTTCAACCTTAAGAAGACTTTCTTTACTGTTAGACCTCTTTCACAGTGGAATGGAGCACCTTGGAAGGTGCTGGACTCATCTTCTTTTTGGTCTTTCAACAGAAGTAAGATGACCATATCTTTCAAAGGACTTTTTTCTATATTTCTGCCTGGCAGCATATTGGATTAGATGAGTCTTACAGTCCTTTCCAACTCTGATTTTATGACCCAGCCATATGTACAGTGGTTCCCAAACTTGGATCCTCCTGGTGTTTAAAACTTCAACTTCCAGAAATCCCATTAGCAGCTATTAGGAACTATTAGGAACTGTGGGAGATGAAGTCCAAAAGAACCTTGAAGGACAAAGATTGGGAACGACTGCTCTAGAACAATAACCAAGACCAGCCCTTAGATGTTCTAAATTCAGGCAGCATATCCATTTGTTGAATCTCTTCTACTGGCCATTCCACAGTCTGAGGGTGACTGAGGAAAATGTTCTCTGGGTGCAGTTGTCAG